CAGCAGCGGCGGTGAGATCTGCGGCTTCGGATTCAGCGCAGCTTAGGAGCGCGAGGGAAGATATTCGAGAGCTTCTTAAGACAAAGTTTTGCCATCCGATACTGGTAATGTATTTTGAAGCTCTTTGTGCGTTTTGTAGGTGTTTTTTTTTTTTTAACTTTTATTACTGGAAGATGATGCAGAATGAGATTAGTGTATGGGGTATATCACTAGTCCAGATATGTTTTAGTTCTTGGTTTAACTAGAGAGAAGGCTTAGGGTTTATTAATGTGATTAGTTCCAAGGATTGTCACTTTTATTCAGCATAGTGATTTCACTGTGTGATTTTCTAAGCAATGAAATGAGGATGAACTAAAAATCTTGAGGATGATGATAGACAAGAATATGCAGGACATTGAATTTCAGCAGATTATCTTTCCATGATATGGCACAATGAAGGCATATGCTCATACTAATCTAACAGTTTAACACTGCAGGGTATATTGTTCTGTTAATGGCCTTGCATTTTCTTATAAGCCTGATTTTCTTACTGTCTAGGTAGTTTCCCATGTAGTTCAGAGCTTTGGTATTCTTTTTCACCTGTATTGTCAAGTTCAGTACCAAAATGTACCTTGAACGTTGTATTCTGGTGATATGTTGTTCAACATATATAATATTAACCAAATTTGCATTGACCTGATCTTGAACGCTGTTTTATGTTGATAGCTTTGGGATTCTTTTTCACTTGTATTGTCAATTTCAGTACCAAAATTTACCTTGAAGTTGTTTTATGGTGATATGTTAACATATATAATATTAACCAAATTTGGGTTGATCTGGCTATCATAAAAATAAAAGGCGAGAAGTAACTTTGATTGGGTTTTCTGGTGTCGACACTTTGGATGCTTTTCTTCATACTAGTTTGGTTTTCATGTGTTGATTCAATTGACACCTCAGGACAGTTGTTTCTATTTTATTTTCTCTAGTACTTTTGATGTTACAAAGTATTCTACTAGAATGCAAAAATGGCTAAAAAAAAAAAAAAGAATCGTATTTGACTTAATTTTCTAAAGCACAGTAGATTCTGATAATTACAAATTAGGCTCTAGGTTGTCAGTATTTTGGATCCAAAAAATTACATGCAACTCATTGCCTATGTACATGTGAATGTTTGTAGGCCTCAATTATACCAAAGCTCTCCATTATTCATGAATAGCAAATTATAATCGACATTATTTTTAATTTTTTATTTTATTTTTTGTAATATTCTCATATATTTACCACGAAGCTAATAAGGCAAAAATTAAGGTAGTAGAGCTTATAAAAATTTCCAAACTTTGGTATTTGCTATGAAACCAACACACTCTCTTTTTTCTTAGATTCTTTTATCCAAATGGTTTGGATCCAAAGCTTGTTTTTGAAAAGTGGTTATTAGTATGATATAATATCATCCAGTTTTTCTAGGCATCCTTTTGTGTATAACATTGCTTAATGTCACAACCCGACCCGGATCTTAAAATTTTTCAAGACGGGAAAAATGGTATTAATCAAAGTTTTTTTTTTTTCCATTTTCATTTCTATAACTAACATTTAATCATCCAAACATAAATGAAAGAACCACCACAAAAAAAAAAAAAGTTAATGTAGTTAAATTTTCCTTATTTCTAGTCGTGTTTTCTATAAATATATTGTGTTATATTGCTCATATTTTAATCAAAGAATTAAATCTGAAATGTTAGTTTAAAACAATAACAATAACATAATGAAAAAAATACTATGTATGTATCACGAATATCGAAATATGGTAATTCTTTGACGAATTTTAATTTTCTTGGATGAACTGTGCTCACATGTCGAAGTGGCTGAGCTGAGCCCACTTGCCAAAGTAGCCGAACTGAACTCACCTGCTGAAGTGGCCGAATTAAGCCCATCTGCCGAAGTGGTTAAATTAAGCCCACTTTCCAGAATAGCTCAATCATGCTCATCAACTGAAGCGGATGAATTGAGCTCATTGGCTGAAGTGGTTGAACTCGATCCATCAAGAATGATGGCGGGATCAAAGCAACATTAATAGCGGCAACCACGCTATAAAGAAACTCATCAATTCTTCATTAAGTGCACTGCCGAGCAATTAAGACAGAGGCCTTTCATCAAGCCAGCGACAAGGTCAGTACCAACAAAGTCTGACAACCTCTGTTAAAAGTGTCATCAAGCTCCTATGACCCTCATCCCTTGGTGGTATTAGGAATGACATCCTTACTGCTTATCCCTGACAATCCTTGAACTTTGACGATTGTAAATCTCTTTCACATTAAAATTGTCTAAAGATGTCCCATGTATAAAGGGAGGAAGATTGAAGAAGAGACGACTCTTTTTCCAAGTTGGCAAGGATTCTCTCTCAATCTCTCTCTCTCTCTTCCCTTCTTCCTTCTCTATCCCGTCGATTCTCAAGGGACCTCTCCCTTCTGCTCTCGGTGGCAAATAGTGTGGGCCCATATCGGAGAGGCTTAAACTCTACAAAGAAGGAACTTTATTGGAACAATTGAAAAAATCAAGAGGTGTATTTTATCCATCTATCTCTCTTACTTTTTCTATCATCTTTTATACACTCACAGTTCTTTGCCGGGTTGCATGTGTTCATGAATAACATGAGATCCTACCTCCTAACAGGATTCAAAAATGTATGCAGTTAAATTTTAATAAATCAGTATAAACATTTAATAATTTATATTTTTGAATATGATCGCTCAAGGTATTTCAAATATTTATTATGTTATATCATATCATTTTCACCTAAATCTATCAATCAATCTATCTATCTATATATATTTCATCTAAATCTATCAATCAATCTATCTATATATCTATATATGTGTGTGTCTCTCTCTCTATATATATATATATAATTTAATATATAATCATCACAAAAGTATCGTCTAAAATTGTACCAATAAAGGTACTTCAATATTAATATCATTTATCAATTACGTGCACGAATGCCTTATTAGCGTCTCTCAACAAGTATCATAAAGGAGTGAACTTTCATCATAATTAAACATGCACATATAAACAATATATTTATTTCTCACCAATCATATATTATTTCATTTAATTTTATATAATTTATATAGTTTTAAATAATGCGTAGTAATGGTAATTGTTGAAATGTAAAATTATCACAACTATATGACGAATAAAAAAGAGAGTATATAAATCATAATTAAATTTGACAAATTAAGTTGTGGGTACTATTAATTATCAATGCAACTGATTAAGAGGAAAAAAAAAACTACTATAGATCAAAAGTAAGAGTACCCACCTTAATATTCACCATAACTTATTTCTTATGTCGTAACTCCTTTAATTAAACATCTATTATATAAAAATATATGCATCAATAAAATTTTATCACATCACTAATTATGCTAATCAATTATTATTTTCTTATTTCATTATTTTAATTGAAATTATAATCCTTCATCTTTTATTCTAATTAGATTATTATGATTAAATTATAAATCTTTCAATTCTAATTAAAAAAATGTCTAAAATAAAAACAATTGAACGTTTATTTCTTAAAAATATATACTTCAATAAAATTTTATCACATTATTAATTATGCTAATCAATTATTATTAGTTATTATTTTCTTATTTCATTATTTTAATTTAAATTATAATCCTTCATTTTTATTCTAATTATGTTGCTATGATTAAATTATAAATCTTTCAATTCTAATTAATTTTTCTTAGAAATTATTATTATTATTTAAATCTTGATTAACTTTATTTTACTAATAATCATACATTAAAATTATAACTATTTTGGTTTATTTTACAACAACAACAATGAAGCCTTAATTCCACTACGTGGGGTCGGCTACATTAATCTTTTTTCTCCATTGCGTCCTATTTAGTGTCATATTTTTATTTAGTTCTAGTAAATTAAGATCATTTTTAATACAATAAGCCCATGTCTTCCTAGGTCTACCTCTGTCTTTCTTAACACAAGTCAAATCTAAAACATCTACTCTCCTAATTGGATCATCAGATGGTCGACGTTTAATGTGACCAAACCATCTAAGACGACTTTCTATAATTTTGTCCGTCACAGTAGCTACACCAACCCTATCACGGATATATTCATTTCACATTTTGTCTCTAAGTGTAAATCCACTGATCCACCCAATCAATCATTCTCATCTTCGCAACACTTAACTTATTATTATGCTTCTCTTTTAAAGGCCAACATTCAACTCCATATAACATTGCAGGTTTCACCACCGTCTTATAAAATTTTCCTTCTAAGCAGTACTTTTCTATCACACAAAAGACCCGAAGCATTCCTCCACTTCAACCAACCAACTTGAATTCTACTATTAACATCACCATCTATATCACCATCGCTTTGAACAACGGACCCAAGATATCTAAATCGTTCACACCTTTTAATAATTTGATTACCCAAAGTCACACTTCTGTCACTAGAGCTATTACTACTAAAATTACATTCCATGTTTTCAGTTTTAGTTCTACTTAAATGAAGGCCTTTAGACTCCAATGTAGACCTCCATAATTCAAGTTTTTTCCTGGACTTTTTCTCTCGTTTTATCCACGAGAAGGATATCATTAGCAAAAAGCATACACCAGGGTACATCCTCCTGTAGATGTCCAGTAAGACCATCCATAATTAAAGCAAAAAGATATGGGCTTAAAGCCGATCCCTGATGTAATCCAACAGAAATAGGAAAATATTTGGTCAATCCTCCTTTAGTTTGAACACAAGTAACAGCTCATTATTTAACAATATTTTATCAATTTTCTCCCCTCATTATTTAACAATGTTTTTCATCTAAAATCTTTTTAAATGTATTTAATAACATTTAGATTAAATAAACTTAATACATAAAATATAAAATTCACAAGTTTTCCCTTACCCTTAACAACTAGATTTGGTCTTCCCCTTTTTCTCCAATACTTACGCCAAACAATCCTGATCCTTTCTTCTCTTGCGCCGAGACCACAGTCACGTCTTGACTTCAACTTTCCCATGCTATTGTCATCACCCTCGCCTGCTCGACAACTCTTCCTTCTACTTAAATCACAAGCTTTGTCAACCTCATCGAGCCTTGGCGTGTTGTCTCCTCTATTCGTGGATCATGGATGTCGTCGCTGGTGTACGCCATTGCTTTCGGCTTCGATTGATGCACTTGCACTTGTCGATTTTACTACCTCGTATGTGTCGATTTACTCCCCAGGTAAGTCGTTCACACTCGAGCCGGCATCTGATACGAAGCCTCCCGTTCTCGTCTCTACCTCTCATCATATTCCCGACTGCTCGCTTCATCTTTCTCTGTTCGACTCCCTTTTTTTTCTTTTTCTTTTTTTACTAGGAGATGAAATGAGGTGCTGTTCCTTTTCCTGTAACTAATGCTTAAAATTTGAAGTGGAAAAATTTTAATAGCTTTCGGGGAAGGAATTTTTTATATGATAGATTGTTTATGTATTAAGGAATATGGAGGCCATAAAACATTACTCATAAAGTAATCAGTTTTACCAAATATATATTGTTTGATATACTTAGCTTTTTATTCTTATGAGGATTTTAATCAACAAGGTTTATATAATTAACTGCATAAGCTATGACCACCAATTTCCTTGATCACAGTGATCTATGTCAAACAATAGAGAACCTCACTTTTGTTATTTTTTCTATTTTTTTATTGTTTAGTATTATCATCCCAGAACAAGGAAATCCCACCTCTTTTTTGCTGCAAGTATTGCTGCAATGCCATGGTATAAATACCTGAAGTCATTCCTTTTGTGTGTTTGAACTTAAAAGATTCTTGAGATGTTTTTTGGAGCAGGTTATTAGTTCCTTGCGCAAGTTTCATTCAATGTTGTGAATCACATTCAAGTGCGAATAAATTGTTCTCTCTTGCTACAGTACACATTTTTCTTAAAGATCAGCTTGTGTGCTTCTATCAGAGAGGAGTCCTTCAGTTTTTTATTTGGTTACTAGCAGCTATAAAATGATTGTTCATGTTGCTAGTAGGTATGGAGGTGAAAAATGTTTGTTATTTTTTCCTTTAAACTTGTTGAAGTCAAGTATATGCTGTATAGCCATGATTGTTTTATCTATTTTTTGTTAGGTATCACCATGAAACCTGAAAGTCAAGTATTTGGTTTGATATCCATGCTAACAGGTTCGCTTGGGATGGCATGATGCTGGGACATATGACAAGAACATCGAAGAGTGGCCACAAAGGGGTGGAGCTAATGGAAGCTTGAGATTTGATATAGAGCTGAAACATGGAGCTAATGCTGGTAATCTTCTTTTATACTCGATATGTTTTCGCTGAGAGAGAACCTTTTGAGATCTTAGCATGTTTCTCCAGGCCTTGTAAATGCTTTGAAGCTTCTTCAGCCTATCAAGGATAAGTACTCTGGTGTAACGTATGCTGATTTATTTCAGCTAGCTAGTGCCACAGCTATTGAGGTTTTATTTTCTCTCTGTATACTTCCTTCTAGTTTACAATGAAACTTTATGCTTTGGAATATTGTTTTTATCATTTTGGTAATTTTTGTCTCTCAGGAAGCTGGTGGACCCAAAATTTCAATGAAGTATGGAAGAGTTGATGTCACCGGACCTGAGCAATGTCCTGTAGAAGGCAAACTTCCTGGTATGACCTTTTCTTGACCAAACATGTTTGCTTGCTTGAAGATGAAATGATCTTAATGAATGAAAAAACTTGCACAAAAATCATAGTAAAGTTCAGATAATTTTTCTGAATAAATTGATGACATCTCAAGAGAAGAACTTCGAAGAACAACTTAATTCTTCCGTGGTTTAGTTATTGTGCTCAGGCATCTTAAGCTTAGATTCTTCAATTTAGACTAGACTAGTTCCTCATATTTTGGCTGTCTCAGAAGTGCTTCCCAATTCCTACTAGTTCACGACTGAAACTTCTGGATACTGTTCCTTTTCCAATTTAGTTGGATATTTTACCTACTCTTATTGCCACTGAAACCGAGAAGCTCTCTGTGCTACTGGATCCGCCACCAACCAGACTAACATCTTCTCCTTCCACTCTCTGTGTCTACTACACTCGATGTACCAAACCCTCGGGTGAGAATTGTTATAATGCCCGTACTCCTAAGTCCGTTGTCTCGCTGTAGGTCTTGTAATCCACTCTGGCCAACATTCCCGAAACAACACTCCTTCAACCTACGAGAATCACTCATGCTCATTTTCTAAAATTTAAATGGTATCAGAGCCAAGGATCTAACCCTAGTTGCTATCTCCCTCTTCTCGTGAATAGAACTTCTTGCAGGCCTCCCTCCCTTGTAGTTTTCAGTCGCGGGCCTCGCTCCTTTGTAGTTTTCTCTCCTCCTGCAATTGTTTTCAGCTATTGACCCCTTCTTTTCATCACCATAACGTCCACAAACCTCCTTTCTCTGCAGTTTTCAGCAGCTAGCCTCCCTTCTCCTCCCTTCGCCTACAGTTTTTCAGCGGCTGTTTTCCCTACAGGCACTCTCGTCGCTATTTCCCTAAAAATTTCAGCCTGGTGATCCTCCCTGTAGGATTTTCCAAATGCTTGGCTTCCCTCCAGCTGGTTAAATCGCCTTCTAGGACCGTCGTCGGCAGGGCCTACCACCGCTGATCTTCCCTGTAGGATTTTCCGCCCCTGCTCTTCTTCCTGCTGCCGTAATCCTCTATGTTGGGGCTACCCATATATAGGAATCCTTCAACTTAGGCAATATTCATCAAGATTCACCGAGAAGAAAGTCAAAATTTATCATGCTCACACCTGCACTCCTTCAGCCAAACTTTCAACCTTGGCATCCAATAGTACTCGACACACTGTCACGCCGTCACGAGCCAATCACCCCACATGTGTTTTCTGTCACAAATCTTGTCATACCCGTGATAAGTGTTGGAAGCTCCATGAGAAACCAACAAATAAGTCTAGGACCAAATCCTTCGTTGCTAAAGGACTCACTATGACCTCATAATCCACGATTGTGCAACCGACCCCTACGCGAACCATCCAAAATCACCATACTTCATCAAGAGTCAGATGGAACACTTAAGTTGTTTGGATCTAGTCCAAGGTAACATTTCTATGACATTCACTGCTTTTGATTCTAGTAGTTCGTGGATTATTGATTTAGGTGCCACAAACCACATGTTCGAGTGTTCATAAGCCTTCTCAACATATTCTCCGTTCTCCGGGAGAGATGCTATTAAAATTGCCGATGATTTCTGTAGTCCCATTGCAGGCAAATTGTCTGTTGTTCTTACAGTCGTGCTGACTTTGGAATCCGTGTTACACGTTTCTTTGATGAAATATATCTCTTATTGGTCAAGAAGTTGGCATATCACTTTGATTGTGCTGCTCATGCTTCTCTTGTTGTCTGTTTCTGTTAGGATCGTTATTCGGGGAGGAAGATTGTAACTGCTGAACATTTTGCTGGGCTTTACTTCTTACAGGAAAAAGGCATTGACGACAAGGATGCTCAATCTCATAATTGTCATTTTTCTCAGTGTACTGAATGTTCTATTATGCTTTTACATTGTCAGTTGGGTCATCTCAATTTTCACTTTTTAAAATAATTTTATCCCTTGATGTTTATTAATAAAAATTTATCTAGTTTTAAATGTGCGATGTGTCATTTGGCTAAACATCAACGTGTACCATATCCACCCCACCCGTACACTCCTTCCACCTCTTTCTTATTGATTCATAGTGACTCATGAGGACCCTCTCGAACTTTGAGTTACACTAATTAACTGTGCTTCCTTACCTTGATCGATTACCGCACTTCGATGACTTCGGTCTATATATTAAAAGACAAATATGAAGTTGCGGTAACCTTAAAAAATTTCCACTCATTCATTTTAATCCAATTCAAAACTATTATTCAAGTTTTTTGGACCAACAATGAGAATTCTTAGTAAGGACATCATTCATCATAGCTCCTGTACGGATATCCCTCAACAAAATGTGATAGCCGAGTGGAAAAATCGACACTTTCTTCTAGTTGTTCGCTCCATTATGTTTCAATCTAATGTCGTGAAATGTTTTTGGAATGAAACCATCTTTACCGCCACATATCTCATCAATAGAGTTTTTACAACAATCCACGACTTCTGGACCGTTATTTTCTTGATGTCGTGTTTTCCCACTAATTGGTTTTTCTCCATATCAGACCCCAAAATATTTGGATGCACGACCTTTGTTCGGAAAACTACCCCAGCTTGTAGTAAACGTGTTTCCCGTCTAATCAAATGTATCTTCCTCGGATATTCTGCCACTAGAAAAGGTTATCTGTATCTTGATCCTACCACCAACAAATTCTATTTAATTGCCAATATTTTCTTTTTTTGAAACTGTTCCGTACTTCCCTAACACCATTTTGAGTGAGGGAGAGCTGAAATTTCTTGACACAGGTCCTTTTCCAACTTCGTTGGATATTTTACCTACTCCTGCTGCCACTGAATCCGAGGAACCCTCTGTCCAACTGGATCCACCACGAACCAGATCAACCTCTCCTCCATCCACTCTTTGTGTCTACACTCGACGTACCAAATCTTCGGGTGAGACTTATCACAATGCTCCTACTCTTGAGCCCTCTGCCTCGCTTTAGGTCTTGGAATCCTCTCTTGCCGACATTCCCGAAACGACGCTCTTAATTACACTTGACGCTCTCTCAACTATGGGGATCACTCTTGCTCAATTCCCAAAATCTGCTGTTTAGGTTTTCATCTTAAGCTTAGATTCTTCAGTGTTCCATGACTAGTCCCTCAGATTTTGGCTCTGAGAGTCCCTCCCAACTCCTACTGGTTCTCGAAAATTTTTGACTAGATGACCGTCAAATGATCGAAGTCACCCTTGTGGCTTTAGTTGGCCTCACATTAGTCCTGGTGTATGTTTGGTGCATTAAAGGGGACCAAAAATGATCCAGCCCTAAGTGAGCCTTTTCTGATCGAATCGATCAATATAAACTATTGTCTTATGGCCTTGGTACACTCAAGTGTATGTTGGATTAGTCCAAGATTAAGCCATAATACCCAATTTGGCTAAATTTCCAAGTTTATCTCAATGAACCGAAGTCCAAACATTTACTTGACTTGAATTTTTCTTAATTGGTTAATCTAAGTGTCAATTAGATTGCCTATATCATGGAGATTGCGCCCTGTTGCTTGCATTGTCTTCAATTTGACATGTGGCTCATTATATGTCCTTATTTGGCTACTTAATACCTTGAACCGAGTTTGCCCAAACCCAAATCTCAAAGTAGGTTCAGTTTACATTAACCTCTGATGAATTGGGCCAATTAACTCACCCAATCTTGAGGGGTTAGTGGGCTACGACTAATTGCGCATTGTGCTTGATTTGTCTTAAAGTGCATTTTAGCTTGCCAAATGGCTGAATTTATCTTACTAGATTTATGACTTAGGTCTTATGCTTACCTAAACAATCTAAAATCTAGATAAACTTAAATTGAAATAATGCATCCGTCGCCTTTTCTTCTAAAAACAGTGTCGCTTTTCTTCAACCTTTAAACAAATCCGAGCACTGTAGAGGTGATACACTTTGGCTTTCCCTTTGCCTCTTCTAACAAATTAACTCACATGCCCATTCCTAGGCTCTTATACACATGATGTCACCTCAGCCTCCGTTCACTCACAAAGCTATAGCTTGATAAAGTGTGTTATTACCAAGTGAAGCTTTTCATGGCTATAAATATGGCTAGAGGTTCTCCTTTTAAAAAAAAGGAGAATCAGATGACGGAGACATTGAGAGGCTGCTGTAAGGGAGCTGCCACCCTCCCCATGTCTTCTATGATTGTGGGACATTTTTTAAAGCATCCGTGTTCGTCTTCGTGACCATCACAACTTGTATATAACTCAATCTCTCCCGCCTTTAGCTCAGTTTATGCCACACTATGAATGATCCTTAAATGTGCTCTCCATAATTGACTCTAAATTGTCGTGGAGTGCCATCTTAAGCCTTCACACTTGGGTTTGTGATCTTTACTATACACGAAGGAGCCTTTGTGACTCTCCGAGATTCAGGAGATCATCTATCTTCTATGTATCCTTGTTTTAATCCTTCAAACCATGGGAGAGGTTTGTTTGGTCAATTGTCATAAAATGCTTGCCCCATTGGCAACCATTCCCATGGTGATACATGGGATCTCTATGAAGGCTTTGGACAATGCTTTGAGGTTACTTATGCATTTAATGCGTCTCTTTGAGTTTGTCATCGGCCATATAATTGCTATAAACATTGAGACTGAGCATCAGGGGATGAAAATCTTAAGCAACTCTATAAGCTCAATGAAATGTACCAAGGGTAGACGATCTTACTTTACAACTCTTCATCAAGCAATAGTAGTCATTTTTGTCGGAATGTGACTAAACTTGTTGAATCGCTAAGCAGTCAAACCAACCCAAAACTTATGAATCAAACCCTGATTGCTTTGATTCTGCACTGGTTTATGCCATGGGATTAAGGTAGAAGATGACTTGTCATCGTATCATCATAGGATGTTCCTTATGATCTTGCTATTGTGACCAATGATGGCCACTAGATCCGCTCTGATGACTGTGATGAGGCCTAATGAAATAAATCACTGGCACGACCATTGTAATAGAGCAATTTTACATGCATTAATGCCGGTCATTTTGTTCTTTTATATGTAAATACAATGGTGTTTATTCTTATCGTTAATAAACAATCAATGGTCTTGATTTTATCTGGCTTCTTTTAAGTTTTATGCCGTGGCTTTATTTATATTTTATGAACTGTCAATATAAGGAAATATTGGCGTGACAGGAAAAAAAGAGAGAGTTAATTATGTTTTGAGATACAAAACTTGCAAATATTGTAGGACATGGTTTATGGATATTTAGCTGTTTACACCAGCAAGGAAAACTTGGTTTTTTTATTATTATTATTATTTTTTATTTTTTGCATTCAATGATATCTGCAAATGGTGAATGCGCATGCCAACATTTTTTTTTGTTCATGGTTCAGTTTGTAGTGCTTAATTATCTGAGTCATGTGAAACCTGTTTAATTACACTTGTTATTGGGTCTCTCTCAATTGCATATCATTGCTATCTTGTTCATCCAGCTGCTGGGCCACCATCTCCTGCAGATCATTTGCGGGAAGTTTTTTATAGAATGGGATTGAATGACAAGGTATCAACAACTTGTTTACATGGAGCGTAATTTTCTTTTATGAACATTTTTTGAACACGGTGTGATCCATGCTGCAGGAAATAGTAGCATTATCGGGTGCACATACTTTGGGAAGGTCTAGACCTGAGCGTAGTGGTTGGGGTAAACCAGAGACAAAGTATACAGTATGAGACTCATTATGTTTTACATGTTTAAGTGTTTTATTTTTTATTTTTTTTTTGGTGCAAACATATGAATTCACTTATAATCGGCCAGGATAAGTTAAAGTTCTCACTCCCTTGCAGTTATATATTTTTGTGGAAATCTTGAATCTCGATTATTCATAAATTTTTATATTAAAAAAAGCTAACATCTCATTCAACACTGAATAAAAATGAACTGAATATGAGGATTCATAAATCCCACCCAAATAGATGGGATAAGGCTTGTGATGGCTATTTGATGTTAATTGAACATCTCCTAAACATGACATGAGATTGCTTACAGATTTATGGGATATTTAATCCACCTATAGAAAGCTCCTATTTATTCTCTTTTGTATGGAGTGAACATAGAAATCACCTTCAATATATGCGTTGGGTATTATAAAATCATTTGGCAAGTTTATGATTTAGGGTTTGCTTGGTACCGCGACATGGGAGCGTCGCGGCCTCAGGCCGCGAAATTTTTGTCGTTTGGCTGGGCGTCCCGCTCGCGGCGGGCGATTCGAGGCGCCGGCGGCGGGATCGATCCCGCGGCACAGCTTTCTCAAATGGCTTTTTACGCATTACCCCCTCTTCGTTCGTTCGTCTTGCGCTCCTTCGCTCGACTCCGGCACATCTTTCTCAATCAGCAGCTCTGCTCCTTCCCTTTATCGCTCTACAACCAACGCTCCTTGTAGATGTCTCTGTGCTCCGCTGGCGATGTGAGGATGGACACTCTAACTTCAGCTAGCTCCGGCAAGACGCCGGCGGTGGTGACGGTTCCAGTGTGTGGCGGTGCAGTTGTGGATCTTGGCGGCGTAGGGAGGGCTCTGGGACTGGAGCGCTCTACTGTTACACGCAATGGGCACTTCATTAGCCGCTGATATGAGTTTTTTATTCTAGACTTCTGCCCTTTTCTGTCTTCATGCGACCAAATAAGCTTTTGGAGTGTATAGTTTTTTGCAGTTTTCAGACGAAGTTGAAATTTGTTTTTGTTTCTTATCTTCTATAGAGCTGTTGAAATATCTTTTTATTGATTGCAAAGGATTAATGAGGCATGAACTCCATGCTCTCTTTAAATGAGTAATTTTTTATCCTCCAAATAGAACTTGTTAGTTGATGGATCATTTTAGAGTATCACTTCACCCTCAAAATAAAACTTATTAGTTTAATGGTCTGTTTGTGACAGTTTTTTTTTTTCTCATTAACTTATTGAATGCTCGGTTCATTCGTAGCCCTAGGTCACAGTAGCATTCATGCATTTGTGGTAGAAAAATGTTAGTTGGTTCTGTTTGGTCATCTCATTGTTGTTATCATATTGGAGTTTTTTTCTCTTCGATCGCAATCAGGAAAATATGAGCTCAAGGATTTTCGGGACATCCCGACGATTGCTCTGCCACTGTGGCCTCCAAACTTCTCTGCTGACGTCACAACAGTCGCACAAGTACGGGAGAAAATTCTATAACTGCCCATAAAGCATCACAAAACGGCTTCGCTTCTTCCGTTGGACAAACAATTCAGTGGATTCCCTTGACGACGACGATCGAGAGTGGAGAACATCGCTCAAGGAAAGTCTAGCACGGGAGCTGCACCGTCAAAATGTTAAATATAATATAATCATCTTATGAATTGTCATTGTAATTGTTTTAAACTTTTTTTTTACTCTCTTGATACTCGCTGTGTCATGAGATGAATATCTGTAATTGTGGACTGTTTTTATTTGAACTTTTTCCTTAAAAAATATCAAATTTATGGCTTTTGAGATTGACTAAAAATTGCAGAAGTCTATTTTTTACATGTTTAGCTTGTAAAGTGAATTTCTGCTTCTGATGTATCATATATAAGGTTGTCATAGCTATGTTCCAAATAGTTTAACTAAACATGGGAAAAATGATCATTTTTCCAGAAACAACTGTCTCACAGCTGTTTTCACACAGCTGCAACGAACAACCAGTCAGCTTCCTCGCAATAGCTTCCGCACAGCAGCTTCTTGGGGCAACGCAGCTGCAGCTGTACCAAACAGACCCTTAATTCTTGTATTCTAATTAGCTATCTACTCTAAATTGCTTTGCCCTTTACCTTGAACCAACCTAATCATTATTTTTTTCTTGAGTTTTATATATTGTAAAGGGTGTGATCTACTCAAATTCAATGACACTTAGAAAATTTTAATATTGAATCTGTAATTATTCAATTTTCTGGTATGCACAATCGAGCTTAGTCATGTAAAAAAACAACGTATATAAACATTGGAGGCTAAGAATTTCGTTTTGATGCCTATGTTTCTTCATTTGTTGAGTGCACAACATTTTTTGCCAAATTAAAAAGCACTAATTTACAGCGTGTTTGCATTATACACCATTTGTGCTTGCATAAATGGATCAAGGTCGCAGGGCAACTATGATATTGGAAAGGAGAACCATAATCCTAGGACTCCAGAGACCATACTTTTAACTAGCATTGGCTATTACCCTTTCAACAAAAAGAAAAAAAAAGAAAAAAAATCTGGCATTGGATATCATTTGGAACCGAGTAAATGCAAATAAAATAACATATTCTAGGTGCTCATAAGTTGCAATGGGAAACTAATTAGAGTGATTATGATACGCCTCACACCAAAATCAACGAATAAACCACGACGAAACGACAATAGATAAATGAAAGAAACATAAACAAGGGCTGCTCTTACAAAAATCAAAGGAAAACAAGCAAGATACAATGTTGAACTACTTTCAAGAGGTAGATTATACCTAGACTCGCTAGGAACACCACAAGAAAAAAAGAAAACAACAACCACACAAAAAACATATATAGAAGAAAGCAGACCTTAGGTTCTTCCCTTAATAGAATTCCCTCCTAGCATTTTAAAAACTTTCCTTCCTAACCTTCCTCCAAACTCTTCTCTTATTTTCTCCTTCTTGCATTGGTGATTATGGCCCTAGTGGACTCCACTCTTTCTTTTCCTTCTTCTGCGGCTCCCCTTATTCACCCCGCTCCTTCCTATCGCCAAAACCGGCCCGCCTGTGGGACCGATTCCGTAGTTTTCAGCCGATTTAGGGAGGACCGGCTCACATATAGGCGTAACACCTTCTGCGGCTCCCCTTGTTTGCCCCTGTTCCTTTCTGTCGCCAAGAACAACCTGTCTGCGTGCCGGTTCCGCTGTTTTCAGCCGGTTCAGAGAGGACCGACTCACATATAGGCATAAAATTACTCTCCTCCCAAAAAGGCACATTGTCCTGATGGTGGAAGGATGAAAAATGCTTATGGATCACCTCGTACGACTCCCATGTTGCTTCATAGTCTGGTAGCCCATTATGTTTGACCAATACCTTATTTTGCTCCCCTATTCCTCGGTGCACTCCTTCGATTTATAATGGCTCTAAAATCACCTCCAAGTCTTCTGTCAGCTTCGACGGTATTGTAGGTGAGGGTGTATGATCTCCAATCACACGTCTTAGCTCTGACACATGGAAAACCGGGTGTTGTATGGGCGATGGCGGTAACCTCAAATGATAAGCCACTTTTCTGATGCGTGCCATAACCTCATATGGTCCATAGTATTGTGGTGAAAGTTTCTCGTTTCTCTTTTTGGCCAATTTCTTCTACAGCTTCAAGTAGACCATGTCCCCTGGTTCAAATATGCACCTCTTTCTTGCGCTCATTCGTTTTCCTCTTCATGATTTATTGAGCTCTCGGTAAATGCCCTTTGAGCTCTGCTAATATAATATCCTTCTTCTCTAAATACTGATCGACGCTAGAAACTGGTGTGGCGCCATCCTCATAATGTACCAAGTGAGGTAGACTCCGCCCATACAATATCTTGAAAGGGGTGGTTTTTGATGTGGTAAGGTACGACGTGGTATACCAATACTCAGCCAATGCAATCCACTTGGCTCATAGCTTCGCCGTATCAAATATAAAACAACACATGTATATCTCCACACTCCTGTTGACCACCTCTGTCTGTCCATTGGTTTGGGGATGATATGCAATGCTCCTCTTGAGGACTGCCACTTGCAACGAATAGCTTTTTCCAGAAGTGGCTGAGGAACACCTTATCCCTATCCGATACAATCAATTTCTGTGCGCGGTGCAAACAGACCACTTCCTGGATAAACACCACCGCGACTAAGTCCGCAGCGTAGGGATGTCATAAGGGAATGAAATGTGCATGCTTACTTAAACGACTCTCGACCACCAAATCAGCGTGATTCTTTCTGATTGTGGTGACCCCTTAATATAATCCGTCGTCACCTCTTTCCAAACCTTCTCCGATAATGCTAGTGGTTGTAGTAACCCCGTAGTGCTTTGGTCAAGTACTTGTGCCACTGGCACACATCACATCTTGCCACTGCGCATCTCCACCCAATAAAGCTTTGCTGCCATAAGAATGTAGGTTTTTTGCACCTCTGAATGACCCCCGATTGCACAACCATGAAACTATTGTAATATATTGGGAATGTACTCCGACGACTTGGGTAGCACGAATGGCTCGTGGTGGAGCAATTGTTGTCCCCTCAATACATATCTTGGATGTCTGTTCGGATCTTGTAGTGATTCGGCTCTTATCTTCCTTAGTTCGTCATCCCTTTCGCTCTCCTATCCCTAGGCTTCCCAATATAGGATCAATGGTATCGATAGAGCCGTCAATTGGGGTTCCTTCCCCTTTCTCGACAACGCCTCAGCTGTCTTGTTCTCCAATCCTGGTCGGTACTGAATCTTGAAATCATACCCAGTAGCTTGGATAGCCATCTCTGATGTTCCTCAATCACCAAAAGATACTTTAAACTCCTTCGATTTGTCCTGACAAAAAAAATATCATCTCAATAGGTAAGGCCGCAACTTTTGAATGGTTAAGACAATGACCATTAATTCTCATTTATATACTGACTTTAGCCTCGCTCTGGCCGTAAGAACCTTGCTGAAGTAGGCAATCGACCGCTGATCCTGCAGGAACACTATTTCTAATCTGTATTCTGATG